GGTTTTCGTCGCTTGGCAACGACGTTGTAAAACAAACCAATCCAATTCGTGTACTCGGCAACCGGGTTACCTTTTTTTTTTTGGCGGTAACCATAATGGTGGTCGAGTAGATCATGTTGTGCGGGGTGGAGAACCCTCACTCCGCGCAAGGGGGATGATCGCACCACGTTGCGTTAAAATGGTCAAGCACCCTCGAGGCGGTTACACAGTACTTACAACTATCTCTGGAGCGAAGCATCAGAAAATATATTTAGTCAAACGCAGCTGTCACCCGTATGCAAGGAAGTATGCACAACAAGATGCCGAACACCCTTAGCAGGATGCAGCGCACCTTTCATGCGACTCGCCGAATACCTCATGGCGCTTCGCGCTTGGTGATGTGAGAGCCTGGTCCGGTGAGAACCTGGCGTGCTCCGTCCCGGCTTTGTAGGGATGCGAGGTCAATGGTCTAACGAGTACACCCCCCCCCCTCCCCCCCCCATTACCTTTTCGGCCTGCAAGCATATTTTCTTTGATATAGCCCCGGGGTAGTCTAGATCGGTTTCGACCAAAAAACTAAAATCCCCCAGGGTATTTCAATTGAATTCCCGCCGGGGTGGTGCCAGTTTTCCCACGAGTTCACCCGGGGGGAAAGTATTTCCCTTATATTTTCTGAGTCGATTTTGCTGCATCGCGAAGCACAACAAGCATGATATGGCAAGGAAAATTCGTTTGTTTGCAGATCTGCACTTCGAGCGAGTTTTAGGTGTACCGTTTGATTCTGGAAGGCTGGCCCCTCCTCGTCTTGGAATCACTCGCGGGACGAGACAAACTCCCCCAGCTGCTGTCCTCCTTGCCTTGCTGTATTTTTTCTCTTGGCCCTCGTTGCTCTTGCGTTCCTCCTCCCTTTGCTTGTTGAACGCTTGCTCGTAAACCTTATTATCCATCTCAGTTTCGCCACACTCTCTTGTTGTTATGTGTGTGGTGCGTGGACCATCATCATTTTGCACAACCACCCCGGGGGGGGGCTTCCCCCCGGGGTGGCATTGGAAAAAATTTAAACTAACCCCGCCCGATACGTCAATTTCCCCCCGGGGGGTTCGGTTGCAGAAAAAAAACGATTTTCTCCCCGAGGGAAAACTCCGACGTTTGTTTACGGTACGTTACAACCGAACGTTTTTCGTGCTCGGACTACAAGTGGCCCGTGCTTGGGAAAGCTTCGTAGCTTCAAGGCCGCGGGGCAACTCCGACGTCACACGACGCAGTCCAAACAGCGGCGCACGTGTCAGAGACGGCTGTTTCCTGGTGCTGGTTCGTCGAGAGAGCGGCCGGCCTCCGCCCACAGACAGGTACTTTCACTCTCAAGCCCGTCCGTGGAGTTGCACAAGTGAGTCGACAGCAACGTCAAGTCCACACATCGGCTGCGGGGTGAGTGAGGCAAGGGATCGCTGTACTTCAGTAGTATTATAGTAGTGCGCAGGTAGGGAACATATCCCTCTCGATACCCCAACCGTTGCCCCAACTCCAAACGAGGCCTGAAAATTTGTTTTGTGCTTCGCGCGGGGAAGCATTTAGTCTATGTGTCTCACCACTGAATTTGCTGCTGCGTACAGAGTAGTACATGACACGGTAGAACCGTCGGCGTTCGTTCGTTCGCACCGATCCTCGTATGTATGTAGACTACGCATACAAAGACATGAGTATGGCATAACTCTGCGGCAACGAACGGTGATCACAACCCCCGTAGCGTTGGGCCCGGCTCATGGTCGTCGTCAGGATGCTTCTACACAGCTCGAATGGACGAGGCGACAGGGCGAGAGATTGAAGTTGCGCACAAAAACTTGAAACGGTTGAGAGACAACGAAGGTTTGTGTCCGGTGCATGACAATTTGCGGAACAACTCGCCGGAGGTCGTTAGATAATACTTAAACAGGTACACCACACGCAAGCAATAGCGCTGTTCAGCAGCAGGATTGCGGTGGTGCGCACCCTCCGCTCCAACAGCAGCAGTCTCACAACCACAACACGCCACCGGAAGGACACACGTGATGGTCTGAAATCTCCGGAGATGAGGGGCCCAAAGATATGCGAGAGGGGGCATTGAAGTGAAAATCAATAGCTTCCATAGGGCCCCTACAACCTGCCCGAAGATCAACCACACCTGCCCGATCATCGCGACGATCACGACGTCGGGGCGTCAGTACCGGTGGGAGCGATGGAACAAGACCACGGGACTTTTCGTCGGCCAGATGCAACGTGGACGAGGATCCAGAGAGAACGGAATAGAATGTCGGCAGTTGGGACCGTTCCTCTGTTGGTTTGATCACCCATGGGTGGAAATAAAACGCAGATACTGCTGCCGTAGACCATGTGTAGATACCGTACGCTCGCCGAACTGGCGTACCTTCTTATGCTACCGGCTTTGCGCTACCGTTTCGAATCCCCTTGGGGGCGCGAAGAGCGAGACGGGCGGGATCCTGGAGAGGATTCGCCCGTGTCACTCTCACCTTTGTTTCGCTGATCACTTCCGAGCGGAAAGACCGGGTGAACTCTTACGACGGGATGGAGCTTGCTCGGCTGCGGCTCCCTTTTTGGGAGAACCGCCACCGATCGACCTGAGCACGAAAGAGCAAGAAGGAGCAAGATCTTGCACGAGGAGAAATAGCCTATAGGCCAAGAGATGGGGACAAGAACAGGCAGGTGCGTGTGTGTGTGACTGGATGCATAGACAAATAGATGTACTCCAAGGGCAAGTTTTCTGTGTACAAGTAAATGGTGAATCTTTACGGTAATATTTACTTCCATCGAAGTGGTACGTCCATAATTCATATCTGTAGTTCCATGGAAGCGAATATCGCTTCCATGGAAGCGTCGTTTAGTGCGCAACGTGTAGTGTCCATGGAATTGGTATCAGCTTCCATGGAAGTACACTCAACTTCCATGGAAGCTGATTTATATTTCCATGGAAGCGGTACACATTTGTCAAACAGTGTGGGATATCGAGTGCATGATGCCCTATCCTTGCTTTCCGGTTGCCCTGCACTTGCCACACATGGGCGGCCTACGGTGGCCGCCGCCTCCCCAACCTCCGCCTCCCGCGCGGCTGCGCGGAGGCCTATGCTGACCGGATATGCCCGGGCGGGCCCACGCCGGTTCTGCTGGCTACTCTGGCCGCCCATGTTTTTGTGGGTTGGTTTTAGTTTTGTATCCTCCTCTTTCGTGGCTACCGACGTTCTCCGCTCGACCAGCACCTCCCTTTTGCCAGCACATGTTCCCTTGCCTTCGTCGAAACCCTCTTGCGAGTTCTCCCGTTCTACTTTCTTTCGACCCCCCTGATTACGTCATCTTTAAAATCCCCAACAATTGGGTTTGGTGGCTATTAAAGAGATCCACCGGTTCGCATTGATGTGAAACGAGATACAATAGCTTGAAGGCAGACCGTCCAAAAATATCTGGTTTGTGTGGTAAGCCTTGCCACCTCATTTTTTTTTTCTTTTGTATGTGCATGTTGCGACATGTGAGGATGGCGGTTTTGTGAGGGAACGAAAGAGGAGAGCGCACCCGCGCGTTTGTGAGTTTCCCAGGAGGTGTGCACAGCGCATTCATCCGTCAACAACATGCAGGCTATTGGCCACGCGGCGGATATGCGCCGCTTTGACACCAAACCGTTGGTTGAAAGACCACGAACAGCCCGCAAAGCATGCCTGCGGTTTGGATCTCGAGCGAAGTCGACCCTGATCCTCTCTCGTGATTGCTAGGTAAAGAGCCCCATTATTCCTTGCCGCTACAAGTAGTACGCATGCTGATCACTCGAAAGAGAGACTGATAGATCGCCGCGTGAGCCGTGGATGCCCTTGGCTTCCATGGGTTTATTGCGTGACCCGATTCCTCCATCAATCAGAAGATTGAAGATTGAGCACAGTTGCTCCACCACGGCATTCTTTTGTTAGCTTGTTTTGGAAATCGGAGCATGTAGGTTTCTTTTGTAGCTCGGAGCTAGATACGATCGATGCTAGCCTACCGATTGGGGGGTTGCTCTTGTCGGGAAGATGCGTGCAGCGAAGCATGGGTAGCCCACTTGAGCGAAACCTCCTACCGCTTTGGTGTTGCTATGACGCCCATGTTGCCCCACACCGAGTGTCACGACAATCGCACTTCCTGCCTGTGGCCTCCGTTCTTCGGCTTGCCCATGGCCGCAAGGTGCATCCAAATACCAGTAATGCACTTTACTGCCACATCCAATCGTTCTCTACGTGCACCTGTTTGCTCACGTTTCCTCTCCCCCCCCCCTCCCGCCAGCTAGTTTCTAGGAGTTGTGTGTGTGTGTGTTTTCGTCGTGTTTATTATGGCGACAGTCCCCCTATTTTTCGCGGTGAGACGTGTCCTACACTTTTCAGCGTATGTAGAGTACTACACTTTTCAGAGTATTTTTCGTACAACTACAACCTTCCAGGGTCACACAGGAGGGGGTAAACACCAGGGCTTTTTTTATTTCTTTTCATGCCCCACCTTCCTCCTGCGGTGCGTGCTGTATTTTATGTTTATCGCGAGAAGGGTCCAGCCGTCCCTTTCCTTCGTTAACGGTGCTAACGTCGAAGTTTTGTACTCACGCGAGCTTGTCAGCTATATTTCGCTCTCACCCGCACATTTCGTAATTTTTTCACCCCATGGGGATTCGAACTCACGACCTCTGCGACTAGCGGACAATGAGGGTACCACTAGACCACCGGGGCGACCGGGTAGAAGGTGGTCGATGTGGAAGCCCTCTACCTACCACATCATGCAAGACGACTCGCACTGCTTTCTCCAGGACTCTTTGCTGATTTGCTGATAAGAAGGTAGATTTTTGCTGGGGTTTTCGAGTGTCGCTCAGTCCAAAGCGAGGACTAAACGAGTTGCTGCACTGTTCTCGAAGTGCGGTCGCCTGAATGGTAGATTGAGGGTCAAGCGGAGCGGTTGCGGTTGTTGTTGTGGTTCTTCTGGGCGTATCCTTGTTCGTTGATTGGTTGCATGCACGTTACAACCGGTTGCATACCTCACCCCTCGCTATCGAACTACATAGCAGGACACCCGCGGCTGAACGTCTCCCTCGTCCGCCTTGCCAGAAAACGTGTCCACAACCCAGCGCCGATTTCACCCTGTGCTCCCCTTCCATGGCTGCTTCTCTCTCCCCCCCTCCACCGCGGTCAGGACGCCCCCCCCATGACGTTCGATGGCAATGGGTACCTCATGCCTATGGCCTCCGCTGTTCGGATTGCCGGTAAGCGTGGGCGATTATTATTCGATTATTTATGTGAAGTGTGTCTACTCCAACAGTAGCCTATGCATGGCAGTGTTGTTCGGTCTGGTCCCTTGTGCTCGCCTTTCGTCGACATGACCACACACCCCAATCGGTTTAATGTGTAGTGCTTGCCAAATAGTTCCCGCTGCTGCTGATGCTGCTATGAGTGACGCGGAGATGGCGCTGCTTTTTTCTCCCGGCACTGCTGGTGTCGAATACGTCCTCCGTATCGTCTCGGGATAGGTGAAGACCGCACCCCTCATCTGAAGTGTTTTCGCTCAGCTGAATCTCCCTGGCCCCCCGGCCCCGCCTTTTCGAAGAGCGTTTGCGCAGGGTGTGCACAAGGCGCTTGATACGGCCCTCTCTCGTGCTTCGGTTCATCATCACCGGCTACAGAGGCAATCGAGTCGTATTGGATGTCCCTGTTACGCAAAATGCGCTGCATCTGCGGTTCTGCAATGGAGTACTGAAAGGCGGTCGCG